GGGACAATGGGTCTCATTTAAACTGAGCCGTTCATTGAATCAGGAGGTAGATACCCACATTATCTCATTAATGACCCTGGATCCCAAACTAGCTTTTAGGTTGTAATTTTTTTTAAACGAATTTGCATCTAAGTGTTGTTAGTTACAGGTCACTTATACTATTGCAGTAGCCCCAAGGAAGTGATTACTCAGGAGAATTGTCTATCAAGGAAGCATTTTGGACAAACTTTAGCAGTAATTTATTGTGAATATTCTTTTCAGATTTGTATTTTCTTTCTAGAGTAGAGGAATGTTAACTGCTTCCAGTCTGGAGGAAAGACTGTTGTCTCACTCGACATAATCCTAAGTAACTCTCTTTGCTTTGCTGGTGATGATTTTAAAGGCTTTAAAGAAAGGTCCTGTGACTCAGAAGCAAACCACTTTTTAATAATTCCTCTCCTTGCTACTTCACCCATAGCTATTTTGCTAGCATTAGCTTTGGAGTGGTTGCCTGTGACTGAATATTGATGTGTCTTAACTGTTGGCACATGAGCTGTGAACAGTTTGTTTCCTGCGATTCCTGAGTCTTCTGTTAAGGGTGTGTTGTTTCAGAAGAGCTGTTAAGTCAATTCAATTTTAACATTGACAAGAAATCCAAATCAAAGAGTTCAACGTAGCCGTTGTTTGTTTTAGTTTCTCTGACCTCTTTCCCCACCAGTCACTATTGTCCTAGTAACTACTGTTTTTATACCCATTCCCAAAAAGTACTAAATTGTGAACCGTACCTCCAAAAGGTATCCAGTGTGTACAAGTTATATGACACCACCTACCTACCTTTTGCTGTCCAGTCAGAAATAAATCTGGGTTAATAAATTAATACTTTCACTTTGAACCCTTCTAAATAATAAAATTAATTGGACTAGTTTTGAGAGCTGAACATTGGGATTTTTGGCAAATACTGACTGAGCACTGCCATTTGGGTATCAAGAGGAGTCTGAGAGAAGTGAATAGTGCCTCAGCTAATTAATGACTAGTGGATAAGGCACCATGATTTACCCCTTCCCACCCCAAACAGTGACCTTGTAAAGGTCTATAAGAGTGCATGTGTCTATATATAGACCAACCACATCTACACAATGTTGAGATTGACCTAATGATTGGTAAATATTTAATATATCAGTAGGCTTTTCTGGCTCAGGAAATCTGTTGATGCCATACATCCTAAAGTCCAGGGTTTATTTGTAGGGTTGAGACCTTGTCCTGCGATTGTTTTTTTTTTCCATCTGATCCCTTATATGACTTAGCTTGGCTTGCCTGGCCTGGAGTGACTTCCATACAATCAAGGTTTGGGCTACTTGCTTAACGTTTCAATTGGAAACTGCACACTTCAACTTTTCCCATGTGTTTTCTTGACCTGGACATCAATAGTATCATTGTTCTTCGTTTTCTTGTGATGGGTCAAACTAGTATTAGTCTATTTATCACTATCAGATTTGTTTCTATTTTTTTTTTAAAAGCTTTTAACCCATGCCAGTGGGAAAAGAAAATGTGTGTATATAACATTTTATATTCTGAAAAACCTGAAACAAAACATTGGCACCCATTAGGATCCACAAAGCTCTGCTCAATATGTAGAGAATGCTTCTTAAGTGCTGGTTAGCTATTGGAGTTTTACAGTGTGGAACTCTTAAATTATATAGACATGAATGAGTCATTGACTGTGCACAGCTGAAGGAACACTTGCAGTGTATTGTCAGGTTTATTAGTGTGAATGATCGCTGAATCTTGGTGCAGTGTGCACAGCCTATAATCCTACAAGGTGTGTGAACTTTGCGCCATAATCCTGTGTCAGTGTGATCCCTAATTGAGTATTACAGAGCAGGCGTGATTTCAACATTAGCCTCAACCATCTCAATTAGGCAGTTTTTGTAGAATATTTCTACAGTAAAAAGGATTTTAAAAAAATTTAGAATGGGTAAGGGTTTAATGTGATAAATTATCACAGCAATGGCTGACAGCAAGGATAATTGATCTGCGATTAGCTGGGCAGGCGGCACAGTAACTGGTGAAACTTGAATGGAACAGTTCAGAGTTACTAATGTGGATCCCATTTGAAAGTTTGGGATTCCCCTTTTAATTGGACCTTTTTTTTTAATCCCTGCAGCTGCAGTTGTGTTGAAGTGAGTTGTGAACAAAATTCAGAGAATTGTCACTCACCTGATGAATTAAACTCTGGTGGGTCTGCCCTTGTAAATGTTTTCCTTGTACAATTGGTACAAAGCATTGGGCAGAATTTTTATTCTGCTTTTTGGACTTTTTAAAATCTTCTCTTACTTTACAAATGAGGCTTGTTATTGACCCTGAACTATTCTTGTTAACCCATTTACAGCTATCCTGATCCAAACCTTGCTAGAGGGTTTTACCAATGTGTAGTTTAGTGTTTTTAGTGTAATCTAGAAATGTTTCTGTAGACTGGCTAGACCTTTATTCATCTGTGTTGTGTGTAGATTTTATTACAGCGACATGAGATTGTTAGACCATATTAGAAAATCATCCTGTAATACATGAATTATCAAATAAAACACTAATATTAGATGGTTTTGAGTAATCTTTAATTTATTTTTATCTCTCCCCTGCTAAATCCAGATGGGAGAATGCAGTTTCCTTGTGTGAAGTGCTGTTAAAGCTATTGTCGATTTTAATGAGCTCCAAACCAGGGTTGCTTGTGCACTGTATTTTCCAAGAGAAAACTAATTTGCAACCCCCGCCCCTCCATGCAGCATCTTGCTGCAGTATCACTCCATTGAGATTAGTAATGTTACATTTAACTTGCCATTTCAAACTTCTGAACAGACTGTCCCAAAACTGCCCATTTCGGCAGTAATCCATGTAGTGCTCGGCTTAACAATAAGAACTGTTGTAGACTCATTACTGCTCAGCTGTAGCCCCAGAGGAGCCGGATGTTTTGGTCCAGTCTTCCTCTGCTGTAAAGTGCACCTTGGCTGAAGATCAACCATGCTTAGGGAAGGTTATGATAAACATTCACTGCCTAGCCCCATCCATTTGGCTATCTCTAGGGTATAGGCATAATGCATTGGTGCCTAGTAAACCGAACAATTGTATACTTCATTCAACTGTATTAACTCCATAGAAACCCAGTTCAGCTGGTCCAGCTGAGAAACCAGCCAGCAAGTTCAGAGATTTCTAGAGATTTTTTAAAAAACCATTTTGTCAACTTAGTGAGCTTATTGGTCTATTCTGACTGTGTCTGACTGGAGTTTGACTCTCATTTCAGCAATAGTCAGGTTCAACAACTTTACAACCTCCTTTTCAGGGCCATGCTGCAGAAACCAGGGCACCAGCTATCACTGTTCCCAGACACCTCATCACATTATTCTAAATTTGACCCCAGAGATTGAGTTCAAATCCTATGTTGTGAAAACTCATTTAACAATGTCACAGTGCATGAATTATTCAGTGTAAGATCTTCCCTGCTGTCTGGGGGTTTCTTGGTTTGTCCTGAAATAGCAGAAGCAGCAGCCCACTATCATTTCTGTGAAGGTAGCAGAAATGTGACCACATTCTGTAGCCATTATTCTCAATCATATTCTTTTTTGGAATAAAATTGTGGTGTTACACTTGATAGCTTGAGGTTTTTATTTTAACATTTCTAAGTATCCATGTTTAGTCATCTTCACTGGTAGGCAGGATGGAATCAAGAAATGACATCTACCGTGATGCTGTAAACCAGTGCATCCCAAACAGTTTCCTGTTAGGACCTCCATTTTTTTTTGAGCTTTGAAAATTGTCCCCTTTGAGAACTGACAACAAGGGGCCATTAAAGCGGGAGCATGACTGCTGTAACTTGGTCAGTGCTCTTACATGCAACATTTACTGCTTCTGATTTTGTGACCTCAAAAGCGTTAGCTGATGACCTCAACTTGGGCTCCAGACTTCCACTTTGGGAAGCTCTTAGTCTAGATGCTGTCTATCTGTACAGATTTGTAATATAGCTACTATTATACCCCATTGCAGCAAACAGGATATTTTAAAGCAGCTGTAACCTAAATGCTTGTTAATAATCCACTCGATGTGAGTACAATCATAGCATAAGAATTCATATTTTTAATACTGTTAGTAAATGTGACCATACAGCTATCAGGTGGTTATTGGTGATTAATACAATTATTATTGAATGAGCCATTCAACCCATGTCTGTGCTGAACCTCCTATGGTCCGATTCATATAGTGCCACTCCACTGCCCTTACCGTATACATTCCATCTTTTTGGATATTTAGAATATTTAGAAAATGTAGAAAAACTTACGGCACAGAAGGAGTCACTCTATCCTCTAGTCTATGCTGGCAAGAGGCAAACCATTCAGTGTAATCCCATTTTCCAGGGCTTTGTATGATTTTCAGTGTATACCTGGGCATCATCATACAGGAGGTCAGGGGTTATGTCTCTTTTTCCCTACTTTTCTCTTGCAAAAAAAATCTAAATCTTAAATCTCCCCTCTAATCTTTATCAGTGATCCTTCTAAGGGAAATTGGTCCTTCCCATTTACTCTATCCAGGCCCTTCAAACTTGTACACATCAATCAAGTCTTCCCTCTGACTTTTTTTCTTTCTAAGGAAAACGCCCCCAATCTTCCATTATAGTTTGGGGTTGTATTGAGAAGGAAAATAGCCCTTCATACACGATCTAAATCTTTGTGACTCAGAAGGAAGTTGAAGCATCAAAGCGTTTGATTCTGAAGCATTTTTTTTTCTGGATAATAAGGATGGGGTAAGGAAGGCTAAATCCGTGCTGTCCACAGCCAGAAAATCAAATAAGAAATGTGGGTCTTGAATATGACTGGTCCATCAACCTGTTTGGGTATGTTTTGTTAGGTGATGAGGTGGGACTTGAATCCAGACTTTCAGCACAGGTGCAGACACTACCCTGTAGATTACTTTTGTTGGTAATGACTGGTTTATTAACCGACTTGGGGGGGGGGCGGGGGAATGAGCCTCAATTACGCGTCACCTAATTTTTGCAAAAAGAATTCTAACCTCAGTGGTTAGAGCGATATGTTAGGCAATAATACAATCCTAAGCCATAAACTTCAGGAAGCTTGTTCGTACATTCCAACTGTTCGTGGATACGTTGCTGGTTTGAAAAACACAGTTTAATGTCTCAGCTCTCCATGATTGATGGGCAGCTGGACCCAGCCACCAGGCTTGCATGTGAAAATTCTTCTGTGCGCTGCTGCAGCTGAAGCTTTGTTGGGTAAGTTATTTGCACAGCGATTTTTGTTTCAAATGTATTTAATTCGATGTCTGGCATAACTATCAGGTACACAAGTTGTCTATAGTGAATGCAACAATTTGCAACTGGAACCCTCTTCTGGCTTCCTACCCTCGTAAACATCAGGCTTTTACAGATCTGCCGCCTAATGAAAACCCACAAGGCGGTTGAAACTATCTCTGCTGCACCTCACTGACTTTGTGCTTACGCCACCTTGCCCCTCAGTAATCCCTATGGAGCAAATTTCCTGACCGAGAGTTACTGCGAAACAAAATCCTTTGGAACGGGAAGTCACCGACAAGACCCGTGTGACAACCCTCGTTTGGCGAATGGTAGACTTTGAAGCAAAATTGTAGGAATGGTTCTTGATAAACAGGTCCAGGTCCGGGGCAGCATAATGTACTTAAGAGATACAAACCATGCTCTGCATGACTGAGGACTGTCTCTCTTACTTGTCACCTCACCTTAGATTCAGCAAGTTATGAAGGCAATCGCTTCGCTTTGGGGATTTGAATTTGCTGAATAAATGAATTGGCTGGGGGAACGATTTGGGAGGTCTCTGGGATTTGTTCTGAGGAAGGGTCACTCGATCTGAAATGTTAACTGGTGATTTCTCTCCACAGATGCTGCCAGATCCGCTGAGTTTTCCCAGCAACTTCTGTTTTTGTTCGACCAAACATCTCCGACGCGCCCACAGTGGCTGAGCCAACTTTTTCCATCTGCCATTTGGTACATTTTCCACACTCAGTGCTGTGACTGAGTAATGCTATCATCATCATCATCATCATCGGCCTGTGAGATTTTAAAATACAAACACTGGCTTCAACCTATTTTTTTTCCCCTCCAGCCAACCTGTTCAAAGATATTGTTACACACGTCCTTCTGGGACTTGAACCTGGGTCTCCCGGTCTAGGGGTAGGGACACTACGCCAGAAGCGGGTGGAATAAAGGGGCCTCAGAGGGCGATGGAATCGAGAACCTTTAAGCAGTTGCTGTCAACCCTATTGTTCTCCGCCGGTAGGAATAGGTGATAACTTCCCCTTTAACTAGGTGTGTGCATGCGCATTATCTTGGTGCAGCGGAAAGCTCGGTCCGACGGGAAAACCGCTTCAAATATTTAGTGGCGATGAATAGATTGAACACCGGTCGGCTTCGGATCATGTTCTCTATTTATAAAACGCAGTAATGCCCTCAGTCTGTCGTTGACCTTTGCATTCTCCTCCTTTTCCTGCTTCTTGGCTCGAGTCCAATGGTCCGTGACAGAACCTTCCTCTCGCACCGTGTGATCGAGGGGGCCCCTGAGGTGGGAACGCAGTCAAGATGGCGACGCTGTGGCGACGGTTCTGCTACTCGGCTCCTACGACCGCACCGGGATTTTGGAGTCGAGTCCGAAACAGTAACATAGGTAAAACCTCAGTCCAGACCGGTCGGGAAATAATCGCTATTCATTCTCTAAGGGAACGCACGCTTCGGCTCAACCAGTCCATGCGAATCTCCTTTATCATCATTCAGAGAGTCAGAGTCATAGAGATTACAGCACGGAAACAAACCCTTCAGTTCAACTCGTCCGGGCCAACCAGATATTCTAAATTAAACCATTTCCATCTGCCAGCATTTATACATATCCTTCTAAACCCTTCCTTTTTTATGTCCCCATCCAGATGCCTTTTAAATGTAATTGTACCAGCCTCCGCCACTTCCTCTGGCAGCTCATTCCATACACGCATTCACACTCTGCATAAAAAAGTTGCTCCTTAGGTCCCTTTTAAATCTTGCCCCTCTCACCCATGCCTTCTAGTTTTGGACTCCCCAACCCTCAGGAAAAGACCTTGACCTACACCCTATCCATTCCCCTCATGACTGTACAAACTTCTATAAAGTCAGGAAAATAGCCCCAGCCTATTCAGCCTCTCCGTACAATGCAAACCCTCCACCCCGGCAACATCCTTGTAAATCGTTTTTGAATCCTTTCGAGTTTCACAACCTCTTTCCTAGCAGGGAGATCAGAATTGAACACTATGTTCCAAAAGTGGCCTAACCAATATCCAATACAGTCGCAACATGACATCCCAACCTTTATTCAATGCGCTAACCAATAAGGCAAGTGAACCAAATGACTTCTTCACTACCCTGTCTACTTACAACTCCACTTTCAAGGAGCTATGAACCTGCACACCAAAGTCAAATCTTCCATCATAATCCTCTTTCTTCCTTTCTCCCTCATCTGCTCACTCTCCCCCCTTCCCATTAAATCAAGAGTGTTCATATCTTTACCCTGTGGTAAAGTTCCACATTCTCACCTCTCTTTAGGTGAAGAAATTTCTTCTGAATTTCCTACTGGATATCAGTGTAGTTATCTTTAATTTACAGTGTCTCATTCTGCTCTTCACAGGCTGAAACACTATCCACTCCATCAAAATCTTTCATCATCATCTAACTCAAACCTCAGCTTTTTATTCTTCAAAAGCCCATTCATGCTTTACTTACAGATATAGCCTCACAGTTCTGGTACCATTCTTATAAAGATAAATGCATAGTCATCAGTTATAAATCTTTATTTTAATAGTACTGCAGCCAGAACTGTACTCTTGAGAGTGTTGTAATCAAGAATAGCGAAAACACAAACGCTGGAAGTATGGAGTAGTTCAGGCAAAATTTGAAAAGAGAGAATTAACGTTTATAAATTGATGACTTTTCATCAGAACTGTCAAAACATTAATTCATTTCAAAAAAAAACACAAAGACTACAGATCCTGAAAATCAGAAACAAAAACAGAAATTGCTGGAAAAACTGATGGGGTCTGGCAGCATCTGTGAAGAGAGAAACAGAATTAATAAATTTCTGAAGAAGGTCACGGGACTCAATGTTAACATTGATCTCTCTCCACAGATGCTGCCAGACTTGTTAAGTTAATTTTCCAGCATCCATAGTACTTGCTCATTACACGTCTAACCAAGGTTCAATTCAAACTTAGCATAAGCTCTCCACCTTTCAATTCAGTTTTTTAATGGCCTCATTGATTTGCATTATACTTTTAGTGATTTATGTATTTATACTCCCAGCTATTTTGGCCCCTCTATTTTGGAGGGCCTCACAGACCATCTTTGTGTCATCCTGTTCCATAAGGGTAGTCAGTATCTAACCAATTTTGTTGTACATAGTTTCATGGAATTTGAGAAGTTGGGAAGTCTGTAGCAAACTGGGACAAAAGTAGACACTTACATTTCACGTGCTGATTTGTTCTGTTGCAGGTATCTGGACACGGAGCCTTCTTAATGATTACAAAGAGGCCTGTAAAGAGATTGTTGTGGGAGCCAGAGATCACCCAGGAAAAGCTGCCTTTTACTGTGCGCTCCTCACAGGGGCATGTGTTTGTGGATACAAAAATCCATGTGACAAATCCTTTCAGGCTACTCTGTTGGAATCATCAAACCAGCTTTTAGTTTTGTCACCTTGGGTCCGGAACAGTCGGTCAGACCAGCACATCCAGAATCTGGTGACAGTTAAAAACCAGGGCCGACTCCGGCATCAGAACCTGCTCCTCTTCTCTCTGGTGTACGCAGCACCCTATGATGCAAAGACCAGTTTATACAATGCACAATGTGAATATTTGAAACCACGGTGGTCGGATTTTCCAGGCAGAGTTTTGGACATTGGGTTTTTTGGCAAGTGGTGGATCCTTAGTTCCAAAATGAAAGACTGGGACATCAATGACAATGAGTTTGCTTATCTGCCTGATGAGCTGCAAACCGTTACGCCACAGAATCTTCATTCAACCGAGAATGAGAGACTGTTTGAATTAAAGTTTCAGCCTGTCATTCTTGGAGAAGAGGACACAGAGGAGAAGGGAGCAGGCTAAAAACACTGCACACTGTGCCACAGTAGTGACAAAACATATAAAAAGTTGTTGAGGATGGAAACTTAGTCTCATCACCTCACAGTTTTATCCTTCTTGACTATTTCGGAGCTTTATTTAACATGTGTTTTAAAAAAAATTTAAAAAGCTTAAATAAACACAATCCCAAGAATTATGCTGTCCCGACTTTCAATGTACCAGGTCACAATGCTGACTGTAGCCAATGACAAGCTACTCCAGTGGCAAGTTGAATTGATACAGAAGTACAAGCAGAACACTGGAAAAGTATATTGAGAAAATTGTCTAATGGGCTATCCATATAGTTTATTCAACCACTTCACCATTTTGTCTTTCTTTCTCCTCTTTTACACACAGACTGGTATATGGAGTTAGGCCACAGATCAGTCATGATCTCATTGAATGATGTACCATGGCTATTTAACCATTGGTATATTGATTATCAAGCGATGCACTTAAAGCCCCAGGACCAAATGCACAGACATTAAGGATAGAGGAAACTTGTCTCCTAGAAGTGATGAGACAGCACTTTAATATATTCATGATCTGTACTTTATTTGCAGTGGGAGGCAGGTTCAGTGGCATTCTCATGCCACCAAGTGGTGAATTCAAATAGTGATGGCAGAAACCTAGAAACTGACTAACTTTTACATAACTATAGGCCAGTTTAGCATAGAAGACCATTGAGTCTGCATGAGTACTTTCAAAATTGGTCCACTCTCCCACCCTTTTCCTATACCCCTGTCATTAATTCTCCTACCATTAGTTAAGAAATTTCATTTTGAAATTTGAGTCTGTATCCCCACATTGACCAGCTGTATATTCCACTTCCAAACCTTCATGTAAAAATTGTCATAGAACAAAGAACCGTGTAACTAATCCAATCTGCTTGCACATGGTTCATATTTCTGTATCCCCTGCCATTCACATCTGTCTAATGTCTCTTAAACCTGTCACAATTGGTTATTTTGCCAAACTTGGTATATCTGCAGTAGTAATCAACCCTTTAACTATTGGAGACAGTTTATCTATTTAAACACTTCACCATTTTAAACACTTAGATGGAATCTACTCTTAATTTTATCTGACAAACCCCTTCTCAGCTTTCCATACGTAAATGCACCTGCCTACAGAACAGGAAGGGCACAAGAACTGGTTCTCAATGTGTCCTGAGTTTGCTTGCTAAACCGACTCTGCTGGAAAGACTGCATGATGATAGAATCAGGGAAGAGTGGGACAGAAACTGTTTTCTGGACAAAGTACTGATCAAAGCAGGGTCAGAATTGATTAAGGCCAAGGGAACAGCAGGGAGGGAATAATTTCCTATAGCATGTTAATAATCAGATAGCATGTCTGCAAATGCCTGTAGATGTTATAGCATTCCATTCCTTAACCTTTCACTATTGCAGAATCTTATAGCACAAAAGGAGGCCATTTGGCTTGTCTTGCCTATGCCAGCTTTTTAAAAGAGATGTTCATTTGCGTCAAATTCTGGGCATCAGATGTAGGATGTAAGGCTGCAGAGTAGCTTTACCAGAATGATATCCGAGTTTAGAGGCTTCAATCATTGGACAGATTAGAAAAATTTGGATTTTATCTCAGGAAGGAGATTAATACATGAAGATAGATGTATTCCAAACTATGGGGTGTCTTAATAAAGCAAGTATGAATAAATTGTTTTCTCCGGCACGTGTCAGTAACCAGTGGTCATCGGTTTAGCTAGAGGAGAAATCAAGAAAATTTCTTCCATGCAGCAGGAACACATTACCTGAAAGGCTCAGAGATAGTAAGAACTGCAGATGCTGGAGTCAGAGATAACACAGTATTGAGCTTGTAGGTGGCAGAAATGGCAGAGAATGATACGTTGGATGTGGAGCTTAGTGGGGTGATATGTGAGGACGAGGGGGTTTCTGTCTTTATTTTTGTTGAGGGAAGGGGATGTGAGGGCAGAGGTGCGGGAAATGCAAGAGATGTGGTTGAGGGCATTTTCAACCACCAAAGCGGGGTCGGGGGGGGGGGCGGAAGTTGCAGTCCTTGAAATAAGAGGACATTTGGGATTTTCGGGAGTGGAATGCCCCATCTTGGGAGCAGATGACAGAGGAATTGGGAGTAGGGGATGGCCACCTACAATCTGACCCCACAACCAAAGACATATTTCCCTTTGCACCCCATCTGCCTTTCATAGGGACCACTCTCTTGTCCACTCCACACTCCCCACTAACCCCACCACCCCAAGCACCTTTCTCTGCAACCGCAGGAACGGCTACACCTGCCCCCTCCCCTCCATTCAAGGCACAAAACAAACCTTCAACATCAGACAAAGGTTCACCTGCACATCTGTCAATGAGGTCTACTGCATCTGCTGCTCCCGATGTGACCTCCTCTACATTGGTGAGACCAAGCAGAGGCTTGGAGACCACTTTGTAGATCACCTACACTCTGTTCATGACAAACGACAACACCTTCCAGTTACAAACCATTTTAACTGCCCCTCCCACTCCTTGGACGACATGTCCATCCTGGGCCTCCTCCAGTATCACAATGACGCGACCCAGAAACTGGAGGAGCAACGTCTCATATTCCACCTTGGGGGCCAACAGCCCAATGGCCTAAACGTGGATTTTACCAATTTCAAAATCTTCCCACCCCCGGCCTCATCCCCTGACCAACCCTTCATCTCATCTCCCATCTCCTTGATCTGACACAACCTGTCCATCTTCTCTCCCATCTATCTGATTCTCCCACCTCACTGACCAATCCCCACCACTCCCTACCGGCACTCACCTATCGCCATCCCACCTACCTTCCCCAGCCCCACGCCTCCTCTCTTCTCTCTATTTATTTATTTCTGAGCTCCCTTCATCACCCCCCCACAATTTCTGAAGAAGGGTCCCGAACTTTCCTGCTCTTCTGATGTTGCCTGGCCTGCTGTGTTGCTCCAGTTCTACATTGTGTTACCTGAAAGGCTAATGGCATAAGATTCCATTGCCCCTTTAACTTACAATTTGCAATGTACTTGAAGAGAATGAATTTGAGGAGTAAAGAGGGAAAAGCTAGGATAAATAGTTAAATTGAAGGAATTTTAAGGAATGGAACATCCCAACAATCATGTAGATTTTGAACAGACTAGAATTAGGACCTATAGTTGAACCAATAAGATTTTAAGAGAAACTCTCTCATTAGAAAGAAGCGAGTCTGAGAGCATGCTTATATTCAAAACAATGGGAAATGGTCTTATGAGCTTAATTTTGGAGAGGATGTTCCAACCACAAATACTAAATTCTTCACTTCAACTACAAACTATGATAGGATTACTGACTGAGTTACACAGACACCAGAGAAAATGGACACACACCGAGGGGAGCCAGAAGTACATTTATTAAACAATATAATTTTAAGCAACGTGAGATTATAATTAATTTTATTTTTACAATATTTATTTAGGTAGTTACATTTTTTACTTGATAAGGAAGAATATATTAGATTATTGATTGAAAGAAGGCACTTTGAAAGCAAGATGAAAATCTTTGACTAATCAGGACAATTCACAAGAAAAGACAATGTAAAGGGGAAACAATTTTTATTCTGTGTGAAAGGAGAGTATTGGTTGGCAATGGACTCTGATTGATGGAGGTATGCCATGGAGAATGCACCAGTTGGATAATGACTGACACAACAGTAATACTCGGCAATATTCTGTACTACCAAATGAACATTCACAATATAAGATCTCAGATTTAGTCAACTATTAACCTCTGTATGCTTTATCTACAATTGGCCTTGACATCTTTCTGATTGTTGTATCTTAACCATATCATTCTCGTGATTATCAGAGACTCAGTCACGACTTGCTGACTTCCCATCAATTTCTGCCTCCCTCAGTTAGAGCTTCTTTCCTTGTTTTTGCCCCACACCCCCCTTATTCCCTCAGCCAATGCCTTGGAAATCAGGCTTTCTAAGAGGACAGCCCTCATTGAATAGATTTTTTCCCCCTCTGACTTCAATACTTTATCTCAGCAGTTTTCCTTCCCATTTCCATCCTGTTCCTCCTCTCCTGAACAGGTTGCCTCACAACATCTAATCAGAGATAGTAGGAACTGCAGATGCTGGAGAATCCGAGACAACAAGGTGCAGGGCTGGATGAACACAGCAGGCCAAGCAGCATCATAGGAGCAGAGAGGCTGACGTTTCGGGCCTAGACCCTTCATCAGAAAAGGGGGAGGGGAAGGGGGTTTTGAAATAAATAGGGAGAGAGTGGGAGGCGGATAGAAGAGGGATAGAGGAGAGGATAGGTGGAG